ATGGGGCAGGAAATGATGGAGAGACCGAAGTCAGAGGAGCTCCTGTTTCAGCAGCAATAGCTAATATTCCAGCTAGAGTTGGAAATGCAAGAAAAAGTTCAGGAGAACTGCAGAGAGCTCAAGAACAATCAGAGAAGGAGATGAGTGGGGCAGCTGGGTGGCTCAGCCAGTTAAGCGTCTACCTTCCACTTAGGTCATGATCTTAGGGTTCTAGGATCGTGCCAGCATCTGGCTCCGTGCTCCTCAGGGGAGCCTGCTTCTCCCTCTCCCTCTACCCTTCCCACACACCACCACCCCCGCCACACTCTTGCTCACAACACTCTCTGTCTCAAATAAAATCTTAAAAAAAAAAAAAAAAAGGAGAATGAGTATAAGAAATAAGAGTGAAGATGTTTCCCATTCAGAGGATATAGCAGCAGACTCGGGCAAGACACTAGTTGAAATTAGTGCTCTGTATGGGGCAGCTAACTTGAGCAGAGTGGAAGAACATGATGAACCAGTGCTATGTGATGTTTCATTAAACACTGATCAAGATTTGTATGATCAACCAACCTAAGAGCAATAATTTTTTCTGCTTGTTTCAAGTTTACAAAAAAAACTGTAGAAGACAAAAAGTGGAGTTACAAATCATTGTTACAAGAATGCTTGCTTTTATAATCGCCCATGTATTTACCTTTATTGAGGTCTTTAGGCATCTTTAAGACTAAAAAGGTCTTTGTCTGGTAGAACTGCCATCACATCTTTTTCAGGGACAGTTTCTGTTGATTTATTTTTTTCCTTTGAATGGGCCATACTCTCCTGTTTCTTTGTATGCCTTGTGATTTTTGTTGTTGTTGAAAACTGGATATTTGAATCTAATATTAATGTAACTCTGGAAATCAGGTTCTCCCTCTGCCAACAGGGTTTGCTGGACTTTGTTCATTGTGGGATTTTTTTTTTGTTTTGTGGTTTTTTTTAATTTTCTTTTTTTTTAAAGATTTTATTTATTTATTTGACGGGGGGCGTGGAGAGAACAAACAGGGGGAGTGGCAGGCAGAGGAAGAAGCAGACTCCCCGCAAAGCAGGAAGCCCAATGTGGGGCTGGATCCCAGAACCCTGAAATCATGACCTGAGCCGAAGGCAGACACTTAACTGAGCCACCCAGGCGCCCCTGTTCATTGTTTTTGTTTGGGGTTTTGTTATTGTTCTTGTAGCCTATCTCTGTGCTAAGGATCAGCCTGAAGTATAAACTTAAGGTCTTCTCAAGTCTTTTCTGAGCCTGTGCCCTTCCCTGGACATGCACAGTTACTTTCTAATTTTCCCCGTAGATGCAGTTGCTTTTGGATGTTGTAGTCTTTAGTATCTAATTCCCAAAAGGGGAAAAAGAGAAAAATGCAGAGTTGGAAAAAATGGGCATCGGCCCTTTAAGTCCTCTGGAAGTCATTCAGTTGGAGGGTGAGGGGCTTATGGCAGTAGGGGGAGGTGCAGTAACAATGGCCACCCCGCTCTTGTCTTCACCTCTGTGACCAGTGATCCATGATGAGAGCACAGATCCCTGACATTTGGAGAATGGGGCCCTTTTTGTCCACTCATTCCCACAAGCTGTGTACCGTGCTGTTCCAAGATCATGTGTACAGCTGCCTGCCCCATGAGAAGGAGTGGGGGAATGGGTAGCTGTTAAGAGCCGAAATTGACCAAAATTAACCAGAGTTTACCATCTAAGCCTTCAACAGGCTCTAGATTTCCAATAATTAGACAGATTCTGCCATTGCAATTGATGTCTAGGTGGGCCTACAGATTTCTGGTGCTTCCTACTCTTCCATTTTCCCAGAATCCTCCACCCCCACTCTGGTTTTAAGTTCTTGGTGACCCTGAGGTGCCTGGGTAGCTCAGTCGGTTAAGCATCTGGCTCTTGATTTTGGCTCAGGTCTCGATATCAGGGTCGTGAGATCAAGCATGGGGCTCCATGCTGGGCATGGAGCCTGTTTTAGATCTCCTCTCTCTCTCCCTTTCTCTCCTCGCCCCCCCCATTCCTCCCTCCCTCCCTCCCTTCCTCTCTCTTTCCCTCCCTCTCCCTCTCTAAAGATAGATAAAGTTCTTGTGGTCCTGAGATATTTTATGACTGTATTTATAATCATTTGTCTCCACCCCCACTTACTAACACAAAGTGCCAATCCCTGCTTTTTTTCATTCTGAAAATATTTTAGAGATCTTCCCTTATTAGTTTATGTAGATCTGCAACATCCTTTCCTCTTTTAATAATTCTCCACCACTCAGAATTAACAGTTATAACACTTAGTCACATCTGCTTCCGATTTTTTTTTTAAATATACCATAAATTAAGCTCACATCACCTGTAACCACATCTTCCCTCCTCTCAGTCCCCTGGCCAAAGACAATCACTGTGAGAAGTTTGCTACTGTGTCCTAGGCTACTTCCTATAATACTTAACACACCCACCATACTGGATAGTGCATATACAACACATTGCCAGTGTGCTTTCTACATACATACACAACACTGTGTATAGTACACATACACAGAATACCATGTATTGTTACCTCCATGTCTGTGAGAGTCACAATATATAGAAATTTCTATGTACCTAGTATCACAAAGCTGGTAAGATATTAGGTTCTGGAGCCAGGCTGGCTGGGTTTGGTTTCTGGCTTTTCATCTTAACCTTAGGCTAGTTAGCCTCTCTGTACTTCTATTTGTTCATCTGTAAAATAAGACAAAAGGACTTACCTTATAGAGTTGTTACAGAGTTTAATGAGACATTCTCTGTATAGTACTTAAAATGCAAACTACTCAATAAATGTTAGCATGATGATTTTGATCTTGTTCTCTCTTTTTAACTGTTGTTTGGTATTCCTTTGTATTTTTTTTTTAAAGATTTTATTTATTTATTTGACAGAGAGACACAGCCAGAGAGGGAAAACAAGCAGGGGGAGTGGGAGAGGGAAAAGCAGGCTTCCCGTGGAGCAGGGAGCCCGATGTAGGGCTCGATACCAGGACCCTGGAATCATGACCTGAGCCAAAGGCAGACGCTTAACGACTGAGCCACCCAGGTGCCCCTGGTATTCCTTTGTATTAATGAACCATTTCCCTTTTGGGAACATTCAGGTTATTTCTAGTTTTTCATAATTACAGATTGCAGCAGTGTACATGTCTCCTTGTATACGGCTGTGAGGTTCACTTGTTGGTTTGTTTTCATGGATCATATATATAGTTTGGATAAATTCAGTTGGTCTGAAGTAGGCCTGGATCTGAATATTGAGATTTTCCAGGCACTTGTCATTCACACCCAGGGTATCAAACCATTGCTCTCCAGTGCATACCGAAAAGGGAAATTGCTGGCTTAAAGGGTACAGGCATTTTCAGTTGTCCCAGGTGTGAGTGTGCTTATTTGTGCACACCTTTAATGACACAGTATTAGACACAATTGATTAACATTGTCTCTCATGGTTTCAGTCTGCATTTCACTTAAGTTAGGCTGAGCATCTTTTCATTTGTTCTGAACTGTCTTAGTGCGGTTTTAATTTAGGTTTATACTACTAAAAATGTCTTTTCCACATCATTAAGTTCTGCAAGTTATAGTATGTTGCAAGAAACAGTGGTCCATGTCGGAAATCTTTATTTTAGGGTATTTTGATTTATTCCAGGTTGAGAACTGTGAAAGCCCCCTGGTGATACTGGGACCCTCTCTTCATTTGCATAGATTATAATTGTTTTGTAATATTGCAAAGTTTGACAGAGACAGTAAAACTACCTCTAGACCTACACTGTCCAAGAGAGTACCCACTAGCCACATACGACCATTAAATACTTGAGTGTGGCCAATCTAAAGTGAGGTATGCTGTAAATATACTACAAAATAGGTTTCAGTGACTTAGTACAAAAAAGAATGTAAAGTATCTCATTAATAACATTTTTATATTACATAATGAAATGATATTTTGGGTATGTTTGGGTTAAATAAAATATTAAAATTTCACCTATATTTTCTTTCTTGATGTGGTTACTAGAAAATTTGAAATAACATATATAGCTTGCATTTTATTTCTTTTAGTGCTACTCTAGGTTGACTTTATGAGTACCTTGCATAAGTTGTAACTCTAGAGCTATGGCGACAGGTAGGTAACATGCATACTTTGTACAGAATCTCCCTCTAAACTGCTGGTTTTGAAATTGAAGTTCATGAAAGACAGAATGAACAGATGGTCACCAGTTATCAGTCTGCTAACCCTGTGATCCTTCTGATATCTGCACTTGGCAAGTATAAAATCCCACCAGGAGAGGGGTGATAGGAAGGAATGTACTGGTTATTTGACTTTTTTAAAATGGCAGGAATTTTTTTATTTTTTTCAATATCCCTAATAGTAAGACACCAACCCTGTGTGTAAATTTTCAGGGTAGGAACCAAGTCTTCTTATTTGTATTTTTGCATATAATTGGTGCCTGTTAAATGCTGATAGATCTGAACCCCAGCTTTGGTTTCTGAGCAAGAGAATTTCTGGAGCAGCATGATGCTTTTGTCGTTTATGATGGGGACTTTGCTTCTGGTCTGTTGTGGTTCATCCTGATAGATATTTGAAATAAGATCAACTAAGATAGTGATAGACATAGTTTCAATTCCCGTGTCAACTGTTGAATAAGGCCATGGAGGTCCCAAAGGACTTTGGAGAAAGTTTAGAAACTGGAACTGTGGGAAAGTTCCCCAGCACTTCTGCATGGGTCCGCACCTGTAACTCTCGCCAGTGTGCTTCCGGAAGCATTTCCCATCATGCCCCTGACAGGCCTATTACTGACCTGAACGTAGGACTCAAAGGAAAGAGAACATCACGCTTCTCTGATTCCCAGAAGTAAAGCTCAGAGGAGCTGTCTTTTTGGAAAGTGGAGAATAGAAGCAACAGTCATTGAGTGATAAGTAGTAAACCATACCTAAGAAGAGGCTTAACCTCTTACAGTTTCTCAGTTTGAACCATTACCTACGAAGACTTCCTTTGGTTTCTCTTTAGGGGCAAGCTGTGTGTGATTGATTGGAAGACATCAGAGAGACCGAAACCTTACATTCGAAATACATTTGACAACCCGCTGCAGGTTGTGGCCTATGTTGGTGCCATAAATAATGATGTCAACTATAGCTTTCAGGTCAGGACACTGAGCCTCGACTTACATTAACGCCTTGCTTCGTGCTTACTTATGGCTACTCAACTCCTTGTGATTCTTACTCTGTTTGTGTCCCACTGCTCACTCTGTTCCTTGTCCTTCTACCACCTTAAAAAGCACTTCCCCCTGTTCTGAGCTTTCTGTCATCGCTAATAGTGCTCGAGTGTTTACAGTCTGTTCTTCAATATCTTGTCATCTTTGTGTTCTTATGTATCCTGGTGCAATCTTTTATCAACCCCTCTTAGAAACAGTTAGGAGCTATTACTATAGATTGTTTTGTTCCGAGTTTGCCATAGAGCAAGAAGGAAATGAACCTCAGCTCTGGTCCTATTGTATAAATACCGGAACTGCCCTGTGTTTCTTCCTAGGTTCAGTGTGGCCTAATCGTGGTGGCCTACAAAGATGGATCCCCTGCCCACCCACATTTCATGGACACTGAGCTCTGTTCCCAGTACTGGGCCAAGTGGCTTCTTCGACTAGAAGAATATACAAAGAAGGAAAAGAACCAGAATATTCAGAAACCAGATTAGGGGACAGAATGATATCTGGGAACATTCACTAGTTCCTCACAGTTTGGGAAGATCTATTGATGTTTACAGTAGAGATGCCACAGGATCTGAAAGCTACATAACCCAAGTGGAAGTATTTGTTGAAATGTATTATAACTAAAAAGATCAAAAAGTCAGAAAAGTTTAGATTTTAAGGGTTGGACTTGAGCACATGAAAGAAGCACAAGTAAGGATGGTCTGTCATTTACCTGGAAAAGGGAAGCAGGATTCACACAGCATTGGTGGCTCTTGGACTCCCCTGTAGAACTTTCTGTATCCTGAGCAGGATGCCCAGTCCTTGAATTAAGATTGGAGGGCATGAGGCTTGGTGTGCAAGAAGTTCCCCAGGGTACCCCAGGAGGGAAGGGGTCACACGGCCCCATGGTGTGTGTGGTGGGAGAAATCGCATCGGCCAACTCCTACTGCCAACATGGTTTCCTAAAACTGGTTTTATATGTTGAGGTTTTCTATATATTTCACTTGGGGAAAAAACTTCCATTTACCATTTCTGAAAAAAATTTTTTCATATTTAATGTGATTCCTTAGCCTCAAGTAAACATTGCTCTCTGGAAAGATGGAGCTTTTTCACATGGTTGATAATCCCCCTTAGCATACCAGTAAATAACCCCCAGGAGTAGCCAGACCCCAGTCTGAGATTCATAATCATGGATATTTTAGTAGCTCTGTTCTAGTTTGAGTCAATGAACCATGTACATAAAGAAAAAGTATCATGTGTGAGATTCTTCAGCTAGGGGGAACAGTAATTTTTGTGTGTTTGATAAGTAATAAAAAGTACTAGTTGTCACTGGGATCGGGAAACTTAAATAAATGCCCACTATAGCTTTGGGGGAAGGCTCCTTGTTTTATGGAATGGGATAGCATTTAAGTTACAGTTGTGGTCTTAAAATAGTAAGGTGCTACAATTAGTTTTTTTCTTTACTTAGCCAGTAATTATAAGAAATAAAATATATGTGAGTAAAGTAATGAGACTGTTGGTTCTGTTTCTTTTTATTTAGATTTATGTGTTTATAGAGTTAATTTCGTAAACCTGGAAATTGTTTAGATTTTGTATTTAGAAGTTCAGAATTCACAGTATTGCCACTGGCCCAGTAGCTTTGGTGTGAGTTCTACAGGAGGCATCCTTTGCCATGGTCACCTGGCAAGGAAAGTAAGCTTCAGGTAGGAAGGAGCAGGATTGCAGGGGACCTTTCACTGATATACACCTCTCCGTTCTCTTCAAGCAGCAGATATTCACGTAGCCTGTCATTTCCAAACTTAAAAATCAAGTGAGATCATTCAAAGTTGTAACAGCAGATTTTTCCACACTGCTTTAATAAGCCTCCCTCCAGAATTTAGGAGACTAGGCCCAGCAAGACTGCATTTTAATACAGTTCTCTAGGGTTCATAGAAATGTACCTTGGACCTGTCTTGCACTGACTTGCCCAAGCTAATGGCATGCAAGACCCTCAGAGTCTGACCAGGCAGACATTGTATGAGAACAACCAAAGTTAATGCCTGGGCAGGCTTCCCAGAAAGACAACACACCGGTTTCTCACTACAATCCTGATATTTCTCAGATCTCACCAATTAAGTCTCAGTCGTCTTGAGAGGGAAATGTCAATGAAAAGTTTTTTCCCTGCTAAGGCATAGAAGAAGAGAGCCAAGTCTGAGTTTCTAAATGAGACAACTTTTCAAGAATTAGCATGTATGTTACTAAATTGTGGGTACCACCTGTTCCTCTAAGTGATATGGCATATTAAACTCCAATGAAATGAAACAAGATTTGTGATGAGGGATTCTCTAAATGAGGATAATGAAAATATTTTTTTACATTTTTATTTGAGGGATGCCTGGGTGGCTCAGTCAGTTAAGCGTCTGCCTTTGGCTCAGGTCATGATTCCCGGGTCCTGGGATCGAGTCCTGCATCGGGCGCCTTGCTCAGTGGGAGCCTGCTTCTGCTTGCCACTCTACTATGCGTTCTCTCTCTCTCTCTCTCTGGCAAATAAATAAAAACCTTTAAAATTTTTTAAATGTTTTTATTTGCCAGAGAGAGAGAGTACGGGGAGGGAGAGGGAGCCCAGTGTGGGGCTTGATCCCAGGACTCCAGGATCAAGACCTGAGCCCAAGGTAGATGCTTAACTGACTGAGGCACCCAGATGCCCCTAAATTTTTTTCAAAGGAGGTAGAAATTGCTCTTGTGAGGAGTCTCCCTCATAGTACAGGACATAGTGTTACAGGCTTTTGGCTTTGAGACAATCCATTAGGTTCGATGCTATCCTTTTCCTCTGCAGCTCTGCACATTCTCAGTGCATTCATAAGCTGACAAAAGCTCCATGCTGGCTGGCACTAAAACCCAATTTTCAATTTTATACAAAAAAGTTACGCCTTCCCCCCTTCCCATCCTCACCCCCCAGATCTGACCTCTTGCTCAGAGCCATTATCCCCTATTAATCGGAGAGCATTGACCTCTATAAACCTATTACAGTTCTAGGAAAACCTGTCACCATATGACCTGTGGTTTCCTATGTGTTGACGCTGGTAAACAGGAAGATGGTTAGTTGTAAATCATTGCGTTTCTAGGTAACCAATTTGCCTACCGGCTTTAAATGGAGTTAGAAAGGGGTAATTTGTTTGAATCACTGTGTCTTTCCACCTGAGCAATTAATTATAACCTGCCTTCCCCTCCCCCCTCCCAAAAGTGGAGCAAGGAATAGTTGGAATTTTACTTGAAACACTTCAGTTTGAAGCTGGGGCCCTAAAGAGAACCACTGTCTTAAATCAGTCGCTAAGTACAGGCAGAAGGCTCCCTGTCCCCATCCTCCCTCCCTTCTTTCCAACCTCAGAGGCCTACAGGCTTGTGCTGCTGCAGGAAGTCTAAGGTGTGGAACCTCAAGTGATTTACACTATAGAAGGGAACTTGAGAAAAGCTCTCTGGGGAGATGGCCCTGATGGAGCAAAAGGTTTGTATAGTTGCTTGACAATAAAAGTTGTCAGGTTTGAGGAATGGAGTTATTTGAGAGGATCCAATCATAAAATGATACTCTGGATTAGATTAGGGTTTGAGCTTTTGCCTCTTGGCTCAAGAGACAGATAGGTAGAAAGAAAGAAAATAATAGCACATTACAGATAATTTAAAAGCCCTTGTCTTTTGTTTCCCGAGTCCTATTTCCCTCACCCCTGACACACCATCATAAATTTGGTATGTATCTTTGCAGTGTATCCTTTTACAGTTTTACTCTCCACGCTGGTCTCCATGAATAATAGGCAGTTTTGCTTCCTGTCTTTTTGATATTTGCTCGCTTTATCTCAACATTAGTTTTTGCCGGGTTGACCACTTCTAGATCTATTTGCATGGCTTTAACGCTCTGCAGTATTCCCTCAGGCTTTCTTGTCTCACTGACGCAGTTAGGCTAACGCACTGCTGCAGTGAACACCCTCCTCTGTGTGTGTGTGTGTGTGTTCCTGGTGTACACGAGGCACGTGCAGTGTACTAGAAGCAGGGTGAGTATCGGAGCTCTGCCACTTACTAGTCCTGACTTTTGTGTGCCTGGATTCCTCTGCAAATTGGGAGGGAACTACTCGTACCTGCCTGCATGGAGTTGGGAGGACTGGATGAGGTAAGCACTTAGGGCAGGTTCTGGCACAGAGTCGGGACAAAATAATCGTGAACCGTCATCATCCTCAAATGATCAAATCCAGACGTGTCGGGGCTGGGTCACATGGTATGCGCCGCATGAAAGTGACTCTCAAATCCCTCCAAGATAGTGCTATCCACTTACGCTTCCACCAGTGCTTTCTGAAATTCCCTGCTTTCCCACATATTCACTAACACAAGAGTTTTAAGACTTTTTTTTTTTTTTGCCAACATCATGGGGTGAAAACAGCTACTTTTTATCTTTAGCAGCATTATTGCTTGAATAAAATTTGCTTTAAAACGGGATTGCCATCTAGTGGTGGGAAAAGTAGACTGCACTTCCACGGCACAAGCCAAATCTGGGTGGACCTACATGTATCTTGGGGTACTTTGGGCATTCGAGTCACTACCACGGGTCTGGTTGCTTTAATTCCACTGTGTGAGGGTTCTTCTATTATTCTCCCCCCATTTTTAAGCAGTTCATGATTTTCTCCTCATTTTTTCCAGCACGGCAACATGGAGACCCGTCTGCACCACCCTGTGCGTGCAGCCTCACAGCCCAACGAATCTGGGTCACTGGCTCAGAAAAGAGGAGTGAGATAAATTAGGAACGAGGCTATTTACAAACTGGCAGGAGACTGTGGCTCCCAGCAGAGCAGGCTTTCCTTGAGCGATCCCAACTCCCCAGTGGAGAGGTGGTCAAGTGCCTGCATCAGCTTCATTCCCTTAAACCCCCACAGGGCTGAGCAGGGTCCCAATTACCGTGCTTCCAAATCCGGGACTTGGACTGTCTGTTGTGAAGACTTTTCAGATCATTGTCTACAAAGATTTAAAAGTGCCTGACAATGTTAGATATTAATCATCAAAGGCATAGGTACATTTTTTTTGAGATTTTATTAGAGAGATGGAGTGAGCACAAGTGGGGGAGGGGCAGCAGGCAGAGGGAGAAGCAGGCTTCCTGCTGAGCAGGGAGCTCGTCGCGGTGCTTGATCCCAGGACCCTGGGACCATGACCTGAGCCGGCTTAACCGACTGAGCCACCCAGGTGCCCCACATAAGTACATTTGTAAAGATCTGTACAAAAATGTTCCATGAAAGATAAAGGTATAAATAAAGCAGTGTTGCTGAAAAGCTTATACAACATGCATTGAATTAAGTACCGTTACTAAAATAATGGGATATTAAAAGTTAAACAAAACAGTCTCAACAACAACAAGCAAAGGTCAGCTGTGGTTAGAAACACCCAGTCAGGCGGATCTAGACACTCCCTCAGCACCAGGCTCCTACCCATATCTAAGCTGTTATTCGTGTGGATGCCTTTGCCTAAAATAACTTCCCTTCCTCTGTTCAGCCAGATCGTCGTTTTCCAAGTGCTTGGACCTAAACCCCAATCCGCCCTCAAGTCTTACCAACGCTAACAGGGAAGGGGATGGTGTAGCGTAGAAGGCACGAGCCTCAGAATCAGGCAGACACTGAATCCGGCCTGCTGCCTGTTTCTGTACCGTCTGTGAGCTAACAATTGTTTTCACATTTTGAAACAGTTGAAAAAAATCAAAAGTAGACAATTTAGTGACACAAG